TGGTGGTGAAATGGAACCACGGTAATAGATATTAAATCAGAACATGAAGCCACTGGATACACTCAGGCAAAGTTGATGGGAACTGCAGTTGCCAGTGGATGTGTTAACAGAATGCCCACCTTATGAAGAGTTGCCTGAGAATGTGTCAGAGTTTGTGAAAGTGTTATCGGAAAGGATGGATGATATTCACCATTAAGTGCGTTCAAACTTGAAAACGTCTGCTGATTCGATGAAGTTATCTTATGATAAGAGATCTACTGAAGTCAGCTTTGTACCAGGAGACAAGGTATGGCTGTATAATCCCAGGAAGACCAAAGGGAAGTCTCCTAATATTCTTCTTCATGAGAAGGCCCATATGACATAGTGGATCGTCTCTCAGACGTGAATTTCCGGATAAAATGTGGTCGGCGAGATAAGGCAAAGGTGGTGCATGCCTACAAGCTTTGGCGTTATCATGGTCCAGGACATTTCAGTTGGGACGAAGTGAACAACGGAACAAATGACGCTGCTGAAGATGTGTCACCTGAAAAAGCCACTGTCGAAGAAAAAACTCTACTCGGTTTTGAGGAGGGAAACAGTGAAGCCCTTGATGAAGTTACTACCACTGATGTGACTGTTACCAATGATAGGACATTTCCTGATGAAGCAGATGAACCCCACAATCTCCGTCTCGTTGGCTTCTGCTTCACCAGTACGGAAGAAGATACGTCCCGTAAAATTAAGAGACTTTGTTGAATTTTGATTTTGTTTGTAAATTCTGTACATTTGATTAAGTTATTGTTTATTGTTTAATGTAAGTGGCTATTGTTCGGGACGAACAATACTAAGGAAGGGACAGTGTTACGACAGCGGAGGTCACGTGACGCTAGTAACACGTCGTATTCTCGAAGCTTCGTGAATCCTCGGGAGGTTACTAGATGTACGGTATTCTTTTATATAAGACGGCCAAGAAGTGACGGCAACAATGTAATGCTGTGTAATTGAACTGCGGACAGAGAGAGAATATTGTTGAGCCGAGCACGTGAGACGTTCGTTGTGAATTATAGCGTTGTTATAGCGCGACTGTGGAAATTAGGTGTATCGCAAATTCGATGACGAGGAACCCATTTTGAGACTAATAATAGCTGAAGACGGCTTGAATAGGTAATGAAGAAAACCTTTAATATAAGTTTAACATAACAGAAACAGTACCTAATGATGACAAAACCTTGTTTAAACGTTGTACATTTGCTGTTATGTTAAACTTATATTCAAGTTTTTCTTCATTACCCATTCAAGCCGTCTCCAGCCATTATAAGTGTATCGCAAAGTTGTATTCAGAAAGAATAAACCAGTTTTATTTAAGAAAGGACTTGTATCGCTAAAGTTTTTTCGGAAATATTTTTTACGGAAAATTAACTAACGACCGGAGGCGTAACAATACCATACACTCACAATTCAACTCACAGCAGTTCTAATTGTAATTAAAGCTAAACACTTATTTAGCAATTATAACACTGCACTAAGCCTATAAATGAATGCAAGGTAACAACGTAAGTGAGAAACAAAACACATACTAACTCTTTAATTGAAGCTAAAGATGATAACTCTTTAAATGAAACTAAAGCTAACTTGTACTAAACCTACACAGATAATAACTAAAACTAAACATATGGAACATTGTCCTTCTAACTATAACTTGATAGCTGGTAACTAAACCTATTTCTGATCATGTGGTAAAGTAATACTTATTAATGGAGCTAAAAAGAAATTTACAACAGGCTATTATAAGGATTTAGATTTTCATTGATCACATACAAGTTTATCACCAACCAATAACGGAGTTCCATTGCAGTACATGTTTCAGGCAGTGTGTCTGTTTTTATTGGGATATTCCAGCTCCATAACAACCCTATAGACACAAATCAAAGATTCCTCAAAAAATATTATGGGCTGACAGATTTTAGATGACAAAAAGTGGAATAAATACCAGGTGCCACCAAGATCTGTGGAAATCAGCCTAGACAGAAAATGTAGAGAATAAAAAAAAGCCTGTAAGCAATAGTGGAATATCACCTGAACTTATAGCCACAAATTGTTTATTACACCAAAGATATTGAGAGAGCTGGTTGGGCATTCATTGTCTCACAGAGATACAATATTCTGCATAAGACTGGTGGAGCATTAAGCTCCCCAAAATCAGCATAAGGATAGAGCTAGAAACTATAAAGCCACCTCTCCTCTAGATTATTGAAAGTAATGAACTGCAAATAGACAATGCTATAAACAAAATAAATGAACTTGTGCAGTACTGCATTAAGTTCATAGTCATTGATCCCTATATGGATATCACAAAGTAAAATAACTACTTAGAAAGACTGTCACCAGAATGTGCCAGGCCAAGCAAGGGTAAAGATAAATGAGAAAGCTGACAAGCTTGCCAGAGAAGCCCCTTTATCAAATTTAGCATAACTCTACTTGCAGGATATCAATCTCCTTTGCTCTAATAAGTTGAAAGTGGCAATCATGGAAGGTCTTCATCGACATTCAAAGGAAATAATACTGCTCGAAAACATAGTACAGTATGGTATAATTACAAAAAACAACAACAAAGGATTTGGAATCAGTTGGACAGCAACTGCCAGAAAATCACTAGTAACATCTGTACAAGAACTCTTTTTCTAATTCCTTTGAGGCAACCAGTTTCCACACAAGGGGTCAATACCTGTCAGCACAATCCCTAGGATTGTAACCTAGGTCTCAAATTAACTTTGGTTCAGTTACTCAGAGCTAGCAATTAATGAAAAAAAAGTGTTACAACGCTTTGCCTGAAACATATTTTGTCTTAGGATAATCTGATGTTAACAACTTGTGATACATTACTTGATTTATGGAGCAGTGAAATCACCTTATATAAGGTTTGAATTGTTATAACATTAGGTTTTATTATTTATCTTACTTAACACAGAATTCTTGTCTACGGAAAAATGAGCATTGCTTTGTACCTTTTTGTTGGCATTATATAATAAATGAAATGAAATATGTATTTATAAAATATTGTTACGCCTCCAGTCGTTAGTTAATTTTCCGTAAATTCGTTCCGACGAAACACAAGTCCTTTCTTAAATAAAACTGGTTTATTCTTTTTGAATATAACTTTACGATACACTTAATTTCAACAGTCGCTCTATAACAACGCTATGTCTCACGTGGCCAACAATATTTTGTCTGCATACATTCAATTACTCATTACCTTTGTTGTTCCGTCACGTTGTCAACGTCTTATATATACAAG